GATGGAAGGTAAAAAGGAGTAATAGAAGCCAAAAAGAAGTAATGAAAAGATGAAGAGAAGTGATGGAAGATGAAAAGAAGTGATAAAGACGATAAGGAGTAATAAGAGATAAAAAGAAGTGATGGAAGACGAAGAAGAGTGATTAAAGGTAAAAATGGGTAATGAGAGATGAAAAGATGTGATAGGAAGATAAAGAGAAGCGATGGAAGATGAAGAGGAGTGATGGAAAATGATAAGGAATGATTAAAACCAAAAAAAAGTGATAGGAGACGAATATTAGTAATGGGAGATGGAAAGGAGTGATGAGAGACAAAAAGAAGTAATGGAAAGATGAAGAGAAGTAATAGGAGACGATAAGGAGTGATGAGAGGCAAAAGGAAATAATAGGAAGTAAACAGAAGAGAAAAGAGATAATAGAAAATGAAAAGTTGTAATAGAAAATAATGGGAGACGAAAAGATGGAATAATGAGAAGTAATACAAAAAATAAAAAAATGATCATAGTAGGAGGTTGGGTAATGATAGAAAACCAAGTAAAAAATAAAACCATAAAGTAAAAAAAATTGAAATTAGTAAGGAATGATAGAAATGAAATAAAAAAAAACAAAAAAAAAACATATCTTTATTAATTGTAAAACTGAAATATGAAACAGTAACAAAATAAAAATAATAAAAAAATAAAAGAACGAAACGTAAAGTGAAAAATAACTGAACCTTAATTGCAAAACTGGAAGGACTAAAGAATCTAAAAATAATGAAAAAGAATAGTAAGAAACAAAATGTAAGCAGAATGTAAGTTAGAAATAAAAATAAAAGAAAAGAAAAATACCTTGAGACTGAAAAAAACTGAGACTGAAAAAACTGAGGAAACGAACTTATACTAAAAATGAGATTCGATAAACAAATAAATAGATGTGATCATGTGGGCAATCTGGCCAATCAAAAATATTAATTCCGTCATGTAATCAAAGTTTCAGGTGACAATCGCCCAAATAACAGTTAGCAATTTCCTTATAATTTAATATAAAATTTTAAATATAAATAACTTCATCAATATTAATACTACAGATACAAAATATATATTATTAGAATCTTTTCAATGAGTTAAATCCAACTGCATAAATATCATAAAATCAAATTACTGGATGTAGAGTAAGGTTGCCTGCCTAAACCTCTCCAAAATTCTATGATTAGTTTCTCCAAAATTTTACTATAGTTTTATTATAGTTTCAGTAAATTTTCAGCAGTTTCAGTATTTATAATAAGTTTTGTTAGGTTTCGCTTTTCTCCAGAGTTTTGCCAACTTTTTAATAAGACTTTCACCATTTCGGCATTTTGCCAACTTGCTAAAACCCCCTAGTTAGGACCCCGGATATCTCCAAAACAGGTCATAAGTCACACTTTCGGCAGATTGGCCCATTTTTCAGGGGCTCAAAAAATCGTTTTTTGTAAATATCTCGGCATCCAGTGGTCCAATTTTGATGAACTTTTTTTTAAATTGTAGAGCTAAATGAGGGCTACAAAATAAAAAAAAGTTCATTAAAATTGAATTACTGGATGCTGAGATATTTACAAAAAACGATTTTTTGAGTTTCAGCAAAAAGGGGTGTTTTTGGCCAAAAGTCCATTATGACCTTTATATTAGATATCCGGGGTCCTCCCTAGTTTCTCTAGCAACCTTAATGTAGAGATTGTTAACTTTAAATTTTAATATTATTATTTATTACAAAAATTATAACTATTTAATACCAAATTTTAAATGTGAATATCTCTGTCAATATTGGAAATACATATTATTGGAATCCTCTTGATGAGCTGAATCCAACCATATAAAGATCATAAAAATTGAATTACTGGATACAGAGATTATTAACTTTGAATTTTAATATTATTGTTTACTATAAAATTATAACTATAATGTAATTTTGACCATTATGACTTTTGGAAGGGTCCAAGTCAAAATCATTTTGACCATTTTGACCATTTTGAAGATTGAAATTAACCAATTTCAGTTTTATGTATAGTGACAATTTGGTGCATGCTCTGAAAATAAAAAATGACTAGCAATTATATAAAAGGTTATAACTGGTAATTATGCAAAAGGTTATGATTAATAACTATGCAAAAGGTCATTTTGATCATTCCCATATAATCTAGTATCTGTAAAGGTATTTCTGAGAATCTGAACTTGAGGTATTCAAAATAATAAAAGGTTAAAATATCTGAAAATTAAAATATGAGTTAAGTAAGGTTTATTATAAATTAAAAAAATAATGATAAATAAATTTGCATTTTAATGAAAAACTCATAAATAAATAAATAAAAGATGTGGGTTGAGTAAAATTTATCAAAAGTTTAAAATACAGTAGTAACGTTTTCATAAGTGTATACATGGCTATGCACATGCACTTAGAGAGGATATGTACTTAAAGAACAACCAATAGAAAAATAAATCATGTTATACAATTAAAAAATTTTATTTATTTAATGTTATTTTCTGATTTAAACATTTTGCAAAAAATATATTTATTTAATGAAAATATGCATTAAGGTCAGTTTATCACATTAAATTTATTTGTCCACTTAGTTAATAGTACTGTCAAAAGTATAAGTTGTAAAAGGCTAAGAACTTTGCAATTTCAAGATTACTTGATGTAAAGCTAACTATATGTTTTTCTAATAGATTTCTATGTGAAAAGGTAAGAAAATTCTATTTGCATATGCTTTCATGGAACTCTTAATATTAAACAACAATACTAATTATACCATATACCTTCTTAACTTTTTTCTAGCAAGATATAAAGTATATAGAGATATGTAAAAGTTCAGCCAACATTTTTGCAAAAATCATATTCATAAAATAACGCAAAATAAAATATATATATGCTAAAAATTATGTATATATGAGAACTCATTTTTTTCTCATTATGGATCTTATATTTAAGAAAACAAAATATCTTCCATTATTAGTAATATTCGTCTTATCTGCTTTATTTGAAATAAGATTGAAAAAGGTATTTTCCTTGTAGTAATTGATAATAATTCAACCATTGAAAATCTGGAAGTCAAAATTAGAAAGGTCCAGCAAAATTTAAGTCAAAAAAACTTTGATTTATATATAAGAAAATTCAAATAAGCCAATTATGTTTTAGTCAATACTGTAAATACTACTGAAAAAATAAGGGGAATTAATAGAACTTCCCAATAAGTTTACTTATTATTTTTTTATAGAAGAAATAAAATGACTTAAAAAAATACTTTTTATCTTCAATATGATGGTGAAATAGAATCTATTCATATTATTGTATACCTTTAGAAAGTGTTGAAAAAAAATCCTGAGAATACTTGGTTTTAGCAAATTACTTCTGTTCATTTTCTGAAATAATTAGTATTTTTATTCACAACATGTATCAGTGATATATTCACATTTTTTATGTAGTAATAGTTGCTCTAGTAATATTTTTTATTTTATAAATAAAGTAATCAAATCAAATCACAGAATTTATTGAAGTAGATAAAAACAAAATAATAGAATAGGATATTAATATACTATAGATATCATGTATCACAGGTAAGTTCTGATTTTTTGTATTTATTTTTGCATATAATAAAAAATCTTTTTCTTAGCAAATTTCATTTACAGGCTGTAAGGAAAAATTACATGATATTCTTTTTATTTTGAATGTATATATACAATGTATTAGTTATACATATAGATTATGTCATCTGAACTTGAATTATTAAAACAGAATTTGAAGTTAAAAATATCAAGCTTGAGGTTAAGAATGCAGAGTTTAGGAAAAAGAATACTATAATTCTCAATCTTAAAAATAAACTTAGTGTTTGATGCTGAAATAGCTGAACTTAAGCTAAAGCTCCAAACGGGTCGGTTTGGTCCGGATTATAGACAGTTCAGATTAGAGCCAAAATCCGTAAGAACTGAACCGAAAAACCAGCAGTTCGGTTCAGTTTAATCCGATTTTTATAAAAATGCGAAAAATCGAATAGCTGGCCATCTAGTGATCGTATAACGTCAAGCCATATATCATTGGATTCGTCTCGACATAAGGATCCAATGATATATGGCTCGACTTTGTAT